GACTCCGTCTGTGTCGCTTAAGGACTGATTCTTGGAGCCTTTCCTGTTCATGTTGAACGCATGCCTCTCTCTTAGTTGGCCGTGTCCAAGACCGACCCATGGCCGAGTAGCTCACCTCAGGCCGGAGTCGATAAGTATAAAGTGCGCCTCGAAGGGAGTCGAGGCGTGAGTCCAAGGCGCGGTGATTTAAAAGTCCTGATCGTCCTGGCAGAAGGGTAATCCCTGAGAGTGCTGGCGCTGATCAAACCCGCGAATTTGGTTCCTGAGATGTCCCAAAGGTGACCCACGGCTACCCTTGCTAAGTATGCCAGGGTGAGAGTTAGGAATACCCCCTCAGCTGAGTTGTAATTCGATTCGAGTCGCCGTCTCTCCCGGTTAGTGAGAACTTGATGGGCTTATCTCCAATGTAGATACACTTAATAACATAAAGGTTCGGAAATGATGATATGATGATGACAGCCTTATTATACCTGCTATGGTTAATATTGATTGCTCCTAATAAGTGAGTGCTCTAGTACATGTGCTAATCTAGTGGACAGGTAAATGATGATAAGCTTGATGCTAAGTTTAAATTGGTTACTATGCGCATAAGCTCTTTTATGCAAATGTGTCAAGCTAGCCCACCTCATAAGCCTTGCATAACCCTTGGTGTCTTTTATTTTGGTTTTTGACGGGTAAGTCTAGCTGAGTACCTTCTCGTACTCAGGGTTTATCCCACCATGTTGCAGGTGAAGTTCTTGGCCTGTGAAGATGGTGGCTAACCGCCGATGGACTCGGTGATTCTATAGTTACTTCTCATCTATATGCTTTTGTCGGATGATGTCACTTATGCTAGCAATGTATTTGGAACATATATTAATGTAATCTTTTGAAAGCTATGTTGTTTTCACTAATCGGTTTTGAAACCCAAACTTGTACTATTATTTTTGAATTCATTTGTAATATTATTTTCCGCTGCAACCCTACGTATGTGATGTGTATTTGCTTAATCACGCGATCTTGGTTGTGATGTTGATTTACCGAGGTCTTTTGGGACACTCGGCGGACTACCGGGTTTATATGAGTGAAAGTATGTGTGTGTGTCAACGTGTTAGCGGGGACAGCCGTACTTGATCTTGTATAAATTGGGCGGTTCTGTTACAGCTTATAAATAGACACCCCCAACCAGTCATTTAGAGTGTGGAAGAGCTAAGGGAAGATAGCAGGGTATTGATACACCTCTTTGGTGCTCTCCATATGCATAGTGCTTAGTGATACATTTAGTGATTATCATAGGTGCTTTGCGAAGTGCATAGATTAGTTAGACCACCGTTTATGTGCTTGCTCTAAGTTTAGGCCTAGTGTTTAGTGAGGTTTGCATACCTCTTACCACTCGGTGCTTGCGCGCACCATTGTTGTACTCGACGGGGCTTGTAGTCTTGTGAGACCACATCAACCGCATTTGTGGTGTGGCCACCACCGTGTACCAAGGAAATAAGGCCCGTGACGTTTCGGCCGGAAGCTTAATAGTGAAGACAGCGGGGATAATCTGGAAGAGGCTTGCCCGAAGACACGTCGGAGACCCACTTGCGCGTGGGGAAGGTCCGAGGCTATCTACGGAGTTACCCGACCGAGAGCTTGGCCCTTGCGAGGGGCTCCAACGAGGATTATGGGAAGCTTTCGCGCTTCTCGATACCTCAGTAAAAATACCAGTCGTCGACGGGAGTTTGCATCTCTACCTCACTCTTAGCTTCCGCATTTACATTGCAACTTGGGTGTGAACTTTACCTTTCCTAGCTTAGTTGATAGGCTAGTTGATAGGAATAAAATGTAGGTTGCATAACTCTTTTGCGATAGAGATAGCAACACACTAGCAAAATCATAGTTGCTCTTTTAGATAGTTTATCTTCTGTATAGGTTCTGGTAAGGATAGAAAAAGATGTCATAGTTTAGAAGTAGAGTTTTAAGTTGCCTAATTCACCCCTCTCTTAGACGTCACAGTCCTTTCAATTGATATCAGAACCGGTTGGCTCATATTTGAACCGATGCTACTTAGAGTGGGAATGATGAATACCTCTAGGCCTCCACATTTTGACGGCACTAACTTTTTCTACTATCTTGCTAGAATGGCTTGCTACCTAGAAGCGGTTGATCTAGATGTTTAGAGAGTCACTCGTCATGGGATGAAACCTCTTAAGAATCCTGAGAAACCAACCACAAGTGATGAAAAAGAAATTCACTTCAATGTTAGAGCTAAAAATTGCTTGTTTGAATCTTTTAACATATATGTTTTTAACCAAGTGTTCACTTTGCAAACGGCACATGAAATTTGGTTCAAACTACATGAGCTCCATGATGGAACAAGTAATGTCCATGAGCAAAAACATTGCCTAACTAAAACAACTTATGATTTCTTTAAAATGAATGATAATGAGTTTCATTTTGTTTCTATTTTAGATTTTAGATAAAATATACTTAATTAAATTATTTTAATTAATTATAAACATATATTAATGTTTTTCTAAACGCTAAGTGGTAAACAGTTGGTCACCTACCGTTTAGCTATTATTCGGGCTAAACAGTCCATTAAACGGGCTAAGCGGCCAATTAAACGAGATAAACGGATGATTAAATAGAAACAGAGTACCACCATGTAGTGTTTACACAGTGTTTAAGCGGGATAAACGGCCGTTTAGGCAAACAGTGATATATTTAAGGTGCGTTTGATATAGCTCCGCTTTAATTGTGTAGTAGTCTTTTTAGCTTCGGCTCGTGGAACAGTTCTACCGATGGAACTAAAACTACAGTTGTTTTAAGAATAGTTTGGTAAAACAGTTCCACCGATGAAATAACTATAATACCCTTCTATTTTTTTTCTTTTTCTCTCTTTTTTCTTTTTTCTTTTTCCTCCCTCATCTTTTCCTCACTTGGTTTATTTTTTTCTTCTCTCTCCGCCTTGTCTTCTCACTGCACGCATGACTCCTCGCCTCCGTCTTTCTTCCCTAGCTTCCCTCGTCTCTTTCTTTCCCCCTCCGAGAAACCCTGACACGAGGCACCCCTTCTGCGCGCCTCCGCGCAAGCTCGCCTGCATGCCTTCGCGTCCGGTTGTGTCCGCCCACATGGAACCATGGAGGGGCGCGATGGGCCACATGCTGTTGTCGTGCGTCTGACTAGGTGTCGTAGCCCAAGAGCATGCCAAGCCACGCACCGCTGCCGCTCGAGGGAGAGCCAACTCCATGTCACAGCTACAGCACTGACGAGAAGAGCATAACTATATTCAGTGGCGAACCTAGGATTTTGCTAAGACTGGGGCCAAATTCCACCCACTAGCGAAACGCCGATAACTACACCATAATCTATACGACTATATACTAATATACATAATACATATGCGTGGCACCGAATAAATAGATATATTCATGGAAAGTTTGCAAATGTACGGTACAATCACTAGATATACTAATGCAAAGTTATGCTATTCTGGTGCTGGGGATGGAGTAGGACATTAGGTTGTTGTTCGGCAGTCCTCTGTTGCCCAGGAACGAGAGAAATACGACTTGTGCACTGTAATCAGAAAACTGTTGAAATTAGGAACTTGAAAATAGGAAATTTGAAATCAAAATCAGTTTCCGATCCAAACCTAACAAAGGAAGCTTGCTCAGTTGCACTGCTCACCTGCAAGGAAGGAGCCGTGCCGGTGCCGCCGCGGAGCGCAGAGCGGAGGGCCAAGGGGCGACGGGTAGTGCAGCGTGAGGGACGGCCGGACCCGGACGGGCGCAGGCGCCGGTCGCGACTCTCACGAAGCGAGCGAGCGACGGTGTGAGAAGGCAGCCGAGCGGCTCTGAGTCTCTGACGCTCTGTGGTTGCAACTACTCTGCGAATGGGCCAAAAAACTGATGAACTGCTCCCTTGTTACATGGGTCAGGACTAGGTCCATGGCCTGGGCTGCCCTAGTGCTAGGTCCGCCCATGACTATATTAGACTTAGAGGAAACTTCAGGAAGCTTCGGAAGATTCTCGCTTGTCTCACAGTGAGGAGCAGCTACCTTTTTAGCTGTTTGGTTCATGAACATGCAAAACAGCTACAGGAGTTGTTGGTGAATCTCTGCAAACAGTCCCTTGGCATGGATCTCAAAGCTGGAATAACTATACCGAACGTGCTCTTCGTATTTAGTGATCTAATATATCTATATCTATACATAATAATAAAGAGACAAAATTTTCGACTATTTTTTTGTCCATCTTTTTTTATCCATCTCCCTCTAACTACCGAATAATGAAGAGTTTCTTTTGTCCGAACTTATATATATAATAATCCGTGCTCATACGAGTTAGAATAGCTCGCGTCTAGACCAATATGGAGTAGAACACGTCCTAAGTGCTCTAAATAGAACTCTTAATAATCAAATAGAAAAGGACAAGAGTTACGTTTTTTATTTTACTCCGTTTTTTTATTTAGTTATATGTCAAAAGGGAGGGAAAAAATCACGTATATCCTGTTTAGAATATAGAGTAATCTTCGAGTTTTTTTCTAGGCGATTGAAAGCAAGTAGCTTTCTTTTACCTATTGTTTTTAGAAAGGGTTACCTAAAATAGGAACAATTTTGAGTTTACCATACGAAGTTCCATGTTAAAAAAACGGCCTGCTTCCTGTGGCCCAGTGTATCATTATTTTTTAGCAACCCAGTGTATCAGTCTCTCTCTCTCTCTCTCTCTCTCTCTCTCTTTTTGAGAAACACCCAGTGTATCATTCAAACAGTGTTGTGTTGTGTTAGAATTTGGCCCGTATAGTAGAATTTGGCCCAGCAACTAAATGGCCCATAGCCACGGAGCAACAAACGGATCAAATTAAGATGTTTATTACTTCAAAAACAATAAGATGGTTAAAGCTTGCATCCCATCTTCCCTGCCTATTTTACTGGGACTCCGATTTAAACTTTTCACCAACTCACCAACAAGCGTCGACCATCATTCGGTAGCTAATAAATTACTGGGACTCCGATTTAAACTTTTCAACCATGCCTAGGCGGCAGAGCCGAGGCTGCCGGCGACGTCGATGACGAAGCGGTAGCGGACGTCGTTCTTCTCGAGCCGCTCGATCGCCGTGTTGACGTAGTCCATCTTGATCACCTCCACCTCGGCGCCGATGCCGTGCTTCCCCGCGAACTCCAGCATGGCCTGGCAGTCCCCGACGCTGCCGACACTGTTCCCAGCCACGCCCTTCCCGCCGGGCACGAAGGCGTACGCCGGCAGCTCCAGCGGCTTGCTCGGCCCGCCCACGATCACCATCTGCCCCAACGGCTTCAGCAGCGCAAGCAGCGGCGTGATCGGGTGCCACGCCGACACCGTGTCGATGATGCCGTCCATGGTGCCCGTCGCCGCCTGCTCAGCTCACATATATCAGGAGGAGGTCCCCGCGTTAGTTACAGATTCCAATCACAATCAGCAGTGACCGTGGAGAAGGGGAGGCCAGATGTGACGGCACACCTTCATCTGCTCCGGGTCCCGGCTGATCAAGAACTCGTCGGCGCCGAGGTGCTCGATGGCCTCCTGACGCTTGCTCGCGGACGTGCTGATGACGGTGACCTTCATCCCGAACGCCTTGCCGAACTTAACGGCGACGTGGCCGAGGCCGCCGAGCCCCACGACGCCGAGGTGCTTGCCGGCCTCGTTGAGGCCGTGGCGCATCATGGGGCTGTACACGGTGACTCCGGCGCAGAGCAGCGGCGCGGTCCGGTCCAGCGCCAGACCGTCCGGGACGCGGACCACGTAGTGCTCGTTCACGACGATGACGTCGGAGAACCCCCCCTTGGTGGGCACGCCGCCGTGCGCGTGGTCGACGCCGTTGGAGGTGGGCACGACCCCCGCGCAGTAGTTCTCGTTCCCCTTCCCGCAGCTGTCGCAGGAGCGGCAGGAGCCGACGAAGTAGCCCACGCCGACCGTGTCGCCGGCCTTGAACCGCGTGACGCCGCCGCCGACGCCGGTCACCACGCCCACGATCTCGTGCCTGTGCGCGCCAACCAACGGATCGTCGTCAAAGGCCAGTAATTGCTTGAATCCTAGTCCTACCACTGTTGTTGCCTCTAGCAAATCGTTTGCAACATTCGGCGGCGAATTCGATTACCCGGGGACGACAGGGTACATGGCGTTTCCCCAGTCGTTCTTGATGATGTGGAGGTCGGTGTGGCAGATCCCGCAGTAGAGCACCTTGATCGTGACATCGTCGTCTTTGGGAACCCTGAAATTGGAACCAAGAAGTAACATAAATTTTATTCTCTCTTTTGTTTCCAGCTTTCACTTAAAAAAATATTCTATGTTAGGTAAGCGGTAAGCCTATAACCAAGAACTAGCAAAATAAATTTAGAAATCTCAAACTGTGTAGAGAAGGTAAGCAAGATTTAGACATCTTCCAGTAGCTGCAATTCATAGGATATTCTATGGCAGAACAGAAGCACGCATGAGCAAAGCAGAGTGCTGAACAGCGCAACGACCAACGACAGTGACAAGGCTGCGCTGCGGCTACCTTCTGGAGAAGCTGTAGGGGGAGAGGACGCCGGTGTCGTCCCTGGCCGCCCATCCGAACGCCGCCTGGCCGCCTTGCTCCTCCATCGTCGACTGCTGCTCTCGCTTCTCCACGGACGCCCTTGCTGGCCGCGGCAACCGCAGAGCTCTCGAGGGCAACCCTACACCACTAACTCCGAGCGAGGGAGCAGGAGCAGCAGCTCCGGGGGAGAAGGGCGGGTGAAGAAATGGACCGTGGACGACGAGGGCGCGACAATGATATGACATGACTGCTGCTCCCTAGAGAGACCTGTGGAGGGTTGAGGGGCCAATGTGGCAATGGATCAGGATTTTCATGCGTTAAACGCTGATAAGGATAGGGACTTAGTTTCTTTGTTTGATGTGGCGAGAGGTTCTGTTATGCGAAAGACAAAATAAGTTGGAAGCAAGGGCAAACAAAAAAATGGAGCTTAGTCTTTCAGGGTTTTTTTTTCTTAGTCCTTAAGCTTTCTCTTTTTTGTTGTTGTTTTATGCTCCTCGGGTTTGAAGTTTTGAGCCTAAAAGCCTGTATACCTTCTGACTATATATATCCAATGTGGATATAGAGATCAGATTTCATATCCTCTTTCTAAAAAAAGCCTTCACTCTTGGAAAAGGGTCCTGTCGTCCACAGGACGCAAAGGATATGATCCGGGGACAGATTTCTCGAAATTTCCGTTGATAACAAAAGAATTGAACCGGTAGACTGAACTAGTTAAAAAAAACAACTAAAATTAGGATAGTGAAATACTCCACTTCTTGTCGTAGGACTCCGTTGTCAAAAAGGAAATTGTAGAGAGGCTGCAAAGGAAAAGGAGTGAATATAAAGCTACACATATGGATGAGTGAGGGGTATCCTAACAAAATAGGGCCCACACACATGCCAAAGCAGGAGCAACCAGAAGCATGTGTCGGCTTTAGTGATCCTGCTATGCTCGTGTATGCTCGTGTCGTGATCGTGAACCCTATAGCTTCTTTTTGTTTGACTGGTTTGGCTTATAAGTCATGTCTAAAAATATTATTGGCTAATTTAGTATAAAAAAATAATGTTCATTAATTGATAAGCCATGACTTATAAACCTGTCATTCAGCGAACATGCTGATAATTCACGGCTTGATATTTCTGATGCCGTGTGGCTCTCCTCGCTGAAAGCTGCATGTGATGTTTGGGACCGAGTGTCCCTGTCACGCTGCCTCATGAGCGGGACCATAGAAGACCTGATCCAAAGGCACTATTGGCAGTACGTACTACTATATATGTTTTTTCTTTTCTTTTATTTATGTTCATAGCTATTGGCTAAATGATTCCGCTAGAAATCCACATAGTTTAGCCTCCGAAACCAATATACTAGCATTTTTGAAGCACGCGCTTCATCTTTTTGTGTTGCATTGCATGTCGAAAAAAAAATGGCAGTAGAGAATGGGGGTAAAAAATCTATACGACGGCGCGGTGCCACCTTTCATACGAGGCATGACCCGTGTCCGTTTTGATGCCACCTGGCGTAAGTTTGGCTCCAGCCGTTCTACGCTCGGCGCTTCCTTCGTCAAGATGCATGACGAAGTCGAGTAGAGTCTGCAGCGGCTACCGAAACTGCCTTGGTGTAAGACTGTCTCCAACCCGGAGAGGCAAATCCAAAATACGTCCTACACAGTGCTTTTAGCTATCCAAAACATCCTCCAACCGATGACCTAAACATGTTACCTATTTTGCCTACAAGCCCAATCGATACGCAAAAAAGCGTTGCATCTCTCCTCGCTACGCAAATCCGCCCACGCACGCCTCCGCGTCGGAGGAAGCCCAGGCGTCGACGCCCTCCTCCTCCCCCCTCCTCCTCCTCCCTCTACCCTCCCAGGACTGACCCCGCGACTCACCCGCGCGAGGCGCCTGAGCGGGGAGAGGCGACTGACCGAAAATGGCCCGCGCCCTCGCTGGTGCGCTGCCGCGTCGGGGGCCACCCTCGCCCCGCGCCCATGGCCACAACCGGGGCCTGCCCGCGCCGGGGGACTCCCACGCCTGGGGCGCCTGCGCCGGTGCGCCGCCCACGGCGAGGTGGTTTCGTGGTGGAGCGCGGTCAGGCGGACCACGGCGGGGAGAAAGCAGAGGAAGCAGAGAAGAAGAAGGGGAGGGATGGAGGGAGCAGAGCAGCGCGACCTCGACGGCAGGGGCGTCGGCGCGACGGAGGCAGGGGGCGCGGTGCTCCAGCGCTTGGCCTCGGCGGCGCGCGTACGGGGTCGCTACGGTGAGAATGGGTGGGCGTGGATCTGGGTCTGTCTGTTGGAGAGCAGATATTTGCGTCCGTGACTTTTTTTTACTGTAGATAACCTATAATACTGAATGGGTATCGTATTTGGTCCTCTTCGTTGGAGTCAGTTTAATAAATCAGAACAGCTGTCTTGCGTCACTTCTATTGACCCAACTGTAGCACGCGAACTATAATTTCGAATGCAAGGGAACAGTTTCTTTATTTTTTGGGAAGCAAAATGCAGAGAGCATTAGAAACCTCAAAGAAAATATCGACAGAGGAAATAAGAAAAAAAAAGTTAAGAAGGAAACCCAGCACAGCGATAGAGGCCGTGGAAAAGTATTGAGCCAATCAGCCCACGAGTGAAAATAACCCAATGGCACTACCGTACAAGGAAGGCCTTTTCCCAGCCCAAGGTATTGCTGGGCCTCCATCTTGCGGTCAACATGGTAGGAAGTTCTAGTTAGCAGTGGCGGGGCCACAAACTTTTAGATTTGCTTTGCTTTGCTTGCTCATTATGATATCCTGTCGCTTAAACGCAAACACTACTCAGATCTTTTAGGTGCACATCACACGACCAGAAATCGTGCCGAACACCGTCAGTATTCAGTACCTTGATCGCCGGCTAAAGCCTGCAACAAATTCAGTCGAGTGCAGAAGCTTTTGCTAATCTGAATGATATACAGCGGGCGTTCGTTCTGTCCAGACGGACCTGCACACCAACAACTATGGAACGACTCTACCGCTCATCCGCGCCCACGCCGAACGAACCCACCCGTGCCGCACGCCGCTCCTGCACTCATCCTTATCCTCTCGACCGCACACTCCCGCAGCGCTCACGCCCCTCCGGTTCTACAGCCGCCCCGCGCAGCTCGCCGGGACGGACGCCGCACGCCACCTCACCATCGCCTCGCCAGCCCGCTGGCGCTCCCTCCCCCCTCTGCGACCTCCATGCGACCCCGCGCTCCCCAGCGACCCGGCTGCCGCTCCCCCCCACCGGAGACGAGGACGACAACGGCGGCTCCAACGAGGTAAGCCGATCCTTCTCTGGATCTAAGCCCTCCTCCTCCTTCTCCTCTAGATCTGAGCCCTCGTCCTATTCCTTTGGATCTAAGGGATGCGGCGGTGGCTAGGGTTCTGGCGAGCTCTAGGGTCCTATTCCCTTCTCCCTCCAGGCAAGCTCGAAGGTGATGGGCCAGGGCTAGAGTAGCCTGCACCTTGAAGCCATCCCCTTGTTGTTTGGTACGTTCTTTTCGCTGTTTCTCCATGTTGCAATGGGTTTTTTGAGATGTTGCAACAAATGATTTTCGATTGTTGCAATGGGATTTTTGGGTTGTTGCAACAGATGATTTTCGAATGTTTTTCATTTCCATGTTTCATGGTTGATTTTTACGATGTTGCAGTACTACTATTTGAGATGTTGCAGTACATATTTTTCAATGTTGCGGCGCATAAATTTCAATGTTGCAGTATATGAATTTTGATGTTGCAGCACATAATTTTCTGATATTGTAGTACATATTTTTTATGTTGCATTACATGGTTTTTCGATGTTAGAGTACATGTTTTTGCGATGTTGCAGCACATAATTTTTGATGTTGTAGTACATGTTTTTCGATGTTGCAGTACATGTTTTTACGATGCTGCAGCACACAATTTTTACGATGCTGCAGCACACAATGGACCGTGTGGCGGTGAAGCTTGAGCAAGACTTGGCGCCGATGGACGAAGGCAACAGTGAAAAGCAAGTGAGGTCAAGATCGATGAACCAACAAGGTCACGTGATGATATGAAGTGGATCATATCATTTGTGATATGGTTGGTGCATGTGTTGCTTCAATATTAGAGGAGATAGAATGGAATGTGCAAGGCAAAGGTATAACCTATAGGGCATTTCATTTCACCAGGTCATAGGTGTGTAGAGAAGTTTATGACCGGGTTTAGGATAGATGGTCGTACTATTAAGAGGGGCAAACTTGTTTGCATATCGGTCATCTAGTGCCACTCAAGTGATCTAACTTTGCATTGTTGCTAGGATAGAGTGGCATGGTGAATTGAGTGACTAATCCTTTGGAAAACATTTGTGAAAAGCTAACACACATGCACAAGATGATGAACACATAGTGGTTTTGGCACATTCGCAAAGGAGGAATTGTTGGAGGTGATTTAGGTCAAGTTGGAGATAAAAAGGAGAAGAAAAGAGCAAGTTTGGGTTGTCCGAGGGACAGAAAACGCAACTAAACTTGCAGCCAGCACGTAGCCTAGCTTGGGGGGTGGCACTGCCATTTTTGGTGTGCACCGCCCTAAAAGCTCTAGTTTGGTTTTGGTGAATTGATAAAACTCTAAGTGCTAACCTAGTTTATCAAAGTAATTATGAGATAGGTAGCACTACTCCAAGTGATAAAGCAAATGAAGATCATGACATGATGATGGTGATGGCATGGTGATGATCAAATGCTTGAACTTAGAAAAGAAGAAAGAAATACAAAAAGCTCAAGGCAAAGGTGAAACTTGATAGGACCTTTTTCGTTTTGGTGGTCGAGACACTTAGTGAGTGTGATCATATTTAGGATCGATAGCCATACTATTAAGAGGGGTGAAACTCATATCGAAATACGGTTATCAAAGTGCCACTAGATGTTCTAACTCATTGCATATGCATTCAGGATCTAGTGGAGTGCTAACACCCTTGAAAACATTTGTGAAAATATGCTAACACATATGCACAAGGTGATACACTTGGTGGTTGGCACATTTGAGCAAGGGTAAAGAAGATAGAGTTGAAAAGGAGTTGAATGCGCTGGTCATGGAGTGACCGGACATGTC